AAAAAAAAATAAAAAAAAAATAAAAAAAAATAAAAAACTTGAAATGAACAAATAACATATCTAAAATACTTAAATGCTCTAAAAATTTCCACTGCCATCAAGTTCAAGAGAAGTCAACAGCTTGTTTTCCAGGCTTCAAAGAAAGTTGTCTTAAATATAAGTAACACAAGTTAAAAAGTACCATGGTTTCATTTATATGCAGCCTGTTAAAATGGAGTGTTTTCATTTTTGTTTCTTACAGAAACAGGACCTTGCTCTGATGCATAGGCTGAGTACATGGTACAATCATAGCTCACTGCAGCCTCGAATTCCTGGGCTAAGTGATTCTCTTGCTCAGCCTCCTGAGCAGCTAGGATTGCAGGTGCATAGTGCCACACTCAGCTAATTAAAACAAAGTTTTTGTGAAAGTGGGGTCTCCATGTGTTCCCCAGTCTGATCTTGAACTTCTCACCTCAAACGTCTCTTGCCTTGCTCTCCCAAAACACAGATTACAGGCATGAGCCACTGCACCTGGCTAAGATGGGATGTTTATGTAGCATAACTAAGAGCTAAAAATACAAACCAGATGCTGCTTGAGTCTTAACCCTTTCCTGTAAAGTTACTACATTTCAATTATATGTTAAAGGTACCTCAGTGACTAACACATTATATATCCTTCCCAGCAGCTCTTCTCTAGTTGTGAGAAAAGAACCTGATGTACCTGTGTTCTTTCCAAATGGCCAGCTGGCAGAAAGTATAAGCATGTGTTTACAGACTGGACCAACAGGGGGTGCCAGTAACAATTCTGAAACATCAGAGGAACCAAAAATTGAGCAAGTAATGCAACCCTTGCCTCATCAACCATCAGATAACCAGAAAATTTACCAGGATTTATTGGTAAGAAAATGTAGATCATTTCATCTTTTTGAGAAGGTTATTTAGTATAGGATATACTAGTTAAGCTTTCCCTAGGTTTAAACTGATGGAGACCTTAACATAAAAAGATTTTTGCCTAATTAACAATGTAGCATTTCTTTTAGCTTTTCATAAATTATAACTTAAATTCAGTACTTTACGGTAAACATACTTAAGTACTTAGAAAAACACAGCTTTATTTTTAAAGTATAAATATTGATATGCCTAATTCAAACCAAAATTAGTATTAGAAAATAAGCAAGTTTCTTGGAAATTTGAAAATTGGAAAGTAGTGGGATATTTATGATAATATTTACTGATTTTAGTTTAGGTAAGCCAATGTTTATTAAATACTTAGCTTAGTCTAAGACAGTAGGCTCAGTGAAATCGATAATATAAAGGTGAATATGACACTCTGTGCCCTTGAGAGCCTAGGGGAAACAACAGCACATGCAGACTAGTAAACAATTATAAGACAGGCTGTTGAGGAGTAGTAGTGTAAAGCAAAGAACACAGAATAAAAGGGACAATTCTGATTGGAGGAACTAGTCTTATAAAACTTAAAATGTGATCTGGGACTTAAAAGATAGAGAAACCCTGACTGTTACTTTCATCCAAATTGTAGAACATTTGATTTGTCCATTTGTGAGAAGGCTAATTAAACATACTTCACAGGGCCCTATGTATTCATCAATGAACACTTATTTGTTATTTCCTTGCTAGGTCCTAGACTGGTGCTAGCAGCTTGTATGCTCAGGGAATGAAATATGCAGAAATAGTATCACAGGTCATTCTTACTTTTAGAAAGTGAGAAGAAAAGGAGCCTAATTCTGTGAATATCATAAAGGCCTAATTTATAACTGAAACATATTATCACTTTTCAAATGAAAGCATTATTTAAAAGTTCTTTATAAAAAATTTAGCATAAATCTTCGAAAATACTTGGAGAATTACTCAAAAGAGGTTTTTTTGTTTGTTTGTTTTTTGAGACAGGGTCTTACTGTGTCGCCCAGGCTGGAGTGCAGTGACATGATCTCAGCTCACTGTAACCTCTGCCTCCCGGGTTCAAGGGATTCTCGTGCCTTCCAGGTAGCTGGAACTAACAGGCACCTGCTACCACACCTGGCTTTTTTTTTTTTTTTT